AGTACGGAAGATTAATTTAATATGCGGATTAGCAAGATAACAAGTTTCAATGCTGATAATTAAGCATATTTTCGATTTATTGCAATAATAATTCTTAATCAAGTTTATATAATTACGTATGATGTATCACAATTCTGTGGCGTTATTCGTAATTCCGCTGATAATGTATGACATATTTTAACAGTGTTATGACCATTTCTTTGTACACTCTGCCTTTGATTCTAAAATTACATTTATTACTTTGATTACATTTGCGGTAATGTAGATGTGTGCACGTGGTTTTAATATAACTATACCATCACTAAAGAAAACGCGACTTTGCGGTGTCGCATAAGCTTATTTGTAGGTTTCTTTTAATCTATTTAATTTATTTAATCACCATTTGTGCAGTTGCATTAATCTTTAGAATAAATAAAGCCAGGAGTTCGCGTAACAAAATTTCGCGTACTTTAATAATCGAATCGAATTTTATAAAACTACTATAAAGAGGAAATGAAATATTTAAATCAATATTCTTATCGCGAGAACGACGAATGTGTATTTTTATATACCTCCGGATGTCATAGAACATAATGTGCACGTCATCACGGTAATTGAATATGTCGATAAACAGGAGAAATACATGACAGTAAAGGAAATGGAACGTCTGGAAGAAATAGAGGTGGAATATTTTTGTCAACGTCCACAAGCGTTGTATTAGATTGTTGCACATGGAAATTCAATTTTATATCAGCAATCTTAAGCCGATTTAAAGTAAAAATTATAAATGCATGTAATTGCAATAATTTAATATTTAATTGTGTATTTGTATATATATAATCGCACATCTTTCATATCTTTTCATTTTATGTGCAATCTTCTAATCGTCATACACAGTAATTAATACTTTTGAAGTAATTACGATAATTAGATATCACGTGGATAAAAAAGGAAGATGTGGCAGCTAAGAAAGACTGACGATCCTCACTTTCGACGATAAAATGACGTAAAGGAATGTCTAGAAAGAGAAGGAAGGATAGGTAGGTAGGTAGGTTGGCAGTACTCGACGATTTTTCATAATTAAAACGGATTAAAACTCGGCAGCGGGACCGTAAATGAATTTGAAATTTCAAACTAGCTGTGCTCTCCTCCGCTTATCCGTCGTGCCCCGCTTTTCCTTTGTCATTCTTTCCTGTCGTAAACGGATCTGCGAGGAACCGAGGCCACCGGTGCAACTTGTACAGCGAGTTTACTTGCCTTTACTTCCTCGGAATAACACATTTCTCTGATTTAATTTACTACGATGTTCACTCTTTTGACACGAATAATACTGCCACAGATTTAGGTAGAGTTTGAATATAGGTGGAGATGCTGACAATACTCGAATATTGTCTGAGAATCAGGATTCGACTACTATCAAGTATGGAATCTGTTCCAAAAATAAACGTATATTGCAATCGATTTTGGAACGCAAATCACAATATTTTATATTTTTACACGAAACGGAAAAATGCAAAAGAGTTTTTTTGATATCCTTATTTTAGAAATATTCGGTATTTTTTGCACTAATGACTGCATGAATCACTCCCCTTTAATGCTTAAAAACGAGTGCGGCAATGAACGTGAAAAAAAGACGCTTTCTTTCGTCGCACCGTAATATTGACGTCGACAGCGCGATGGCGCGGCACTTTTAATTCTCTGCCAATTAATCTCTCTCGAATCCATGAATTAGTCTCGGCTCGAAACCACAGCTGTCCATGGATTGGAGCACGTGAGAGGAGAGGCTTTTCGGTGATACCGTCGCGTCGGTCCACGCGAGTGATAACGAGGCTCGTAAAATTGCTACGGTGAACGATGGGCGCGTCGATTATTGACGCAGCTGGGATTTGCCTGATACCAAAATCCGGTATAAAAACCGTCGACCGTTCTGTTCACTTCGTCCAGCATTTACTTCGCAGATCAATTTTTAACGACACTCGGCAATACGAGACGTAAGAGGAAAAAAAGCATGAGAGAAAAAGTGGCATCATTGATCGTTCCATACTGCACCGATACACTGCACCGATTTTTCCAATCTTTTATCAATATTTTGATTATTAATTTGCACAACATGTGCGACAATAAAAAAAATTTTCTATAGAAATATTATATAACTACAAAAAATACTATTTTATATTAATTTACCTTGATTGAACACAGCAAATTAGCTGTGAATTAGCGAGCTATCTGAAACTTAGCTTGACTTGAACATTTCTACACGGCACGGCACTGGTAGATTATAGCGCGGCATTAACCCAGGTGTCGTCGTCACCTCGCATGGGTCATTAACATTTCACACGTATCGTACGGCAATTAACCCTTAGAGCTCTATGTACCGGCCTACAAGATGAATTAATGAAGAGGGATGAGAAGCAATTGCGTCGTTTCACTTCTCTGCGCAATCGACCATGGAAAAGGTTAAAAGCTTGGTTCTTCCCTTTTGACCGCAGATTTCCGTAACGCTTTTAAATACAATCTATACATTTTATTTTACAGTTGACAACACAACGCGATTTTGTCACTGAAATAAATTATAAACATGTTACATACTGTTCTAAATAACCATCTGTAATATGAATTATTGATACACGTAAAAATTCGACTAGTTATATATATCGTCAGAAATGACACACACTGTCGATAGAAGATCGATGAATATTATATAATGTTGCAAAAAAAGATGACATATTTTTACAGTCGCGTAAAATGTGAGCAATTGTACTAAGAAAATTACATGCAATACTAATAGGTGATGAACGAAAATAAAGGACGTTTTGTAAAAAAATCACAAATTGTTGCTTGCAATATCAGATTCGCAAAATTGATTGAAATGCTATTCTGTCGATTCGCTCGAGCAAATAACAATTTCAAACAATGAATTTATTACAACTCACAGCTGCAAATATCGCGTTCCACTGTGTAAGTGTCATACAGCGCCGATTTTTGTAACCTAATTAATTTCAAACGTGATAAAGATTGTTTACGCTCCCACATTTAAACAAGATGAATCTCGGGTTTACGAAAGTGGCGAGCGATATTTCAGCGATAGCGGGCCACCTCATTTTCTCATTGTCTCTATTAACCGGCGTAGCTCGGAAATTTATAACTCGAGGAGGAAAAAAGCCGCCCGCGATGAGGAGAGGGAGGCCGCATTCGCTCGGCGACATCTTTTTTCTTAATTCATTTGCCGGGGATTATTCATCAGCCATTACGGCGCTAACGAAACGCGAAACGGCGCAAAACCGGGGTGAGGTGCAAAGTGTACCATCACGATTGCCTTTCTACATTTCGAATGGGGATTTTACGGCGAGCGGTACGCGACTTTGACGAGAAAAGGCGGAGAAGAAGTAGGAGGAGAACCTTTCGAATTGTTAATGCGCAAGGAGCTGCCTCGACTTCTTTCCATTAACTTCAGTAACTACTGAAGATGTACCGCCCGAAGAGAGAACCGCTTCCATCTCTTTCCTCCTATCTTTCATCCTCTCGACCTCGTGCGTCCCTTTACCATTCTTACTCTCATCCTCGTTATCCTTAATCTCGTTTGCACGGTAACTCGTGCCAAGGACGTTAGATAGGACGATACGATATCACAGAAGACCATCTATGCCGTTGCACCCGATCGGCATTGCATTGCTAATGTAATAAAACTCAAAGTTGAGGAGAAGAATTCTTCTTTGGTCTGTTATAATGACGAAAAAAGTGTTATACGTCGCGCTTCCGCAATTCATTTTACCGCACGTGACATTCTCGATATTTTCCGCAACGAAATTGGATCTATAAATGATGAACATTGATACCGACGACACCGAAAAACAAAAAATTCTTATGAATTGAAGGATCAGCATAATATTTTTACGATTAATAATCTCCTAATTTTTTACTTTTTTTAAAATTAAATCCATATTGCAACTTTCAATTGCACCAAAGTTTAGTAAATTCATTAGCATCTACATATCTGCCCCTCTTAAAACTTAATCGCTCGGGAACACGTTCAACGGCGTGCACGAAACATCCGCACGAGAACGACATGGTAACATTCGTACTCCGGTAACGGCAGTCCCGCGGAATCCAAGCGGAAG